AGGAAGACTGAAGAAGAGTTGATGCTTTTGAGCTGTGGTGCTGGCGAAGAATGCTGAAAGTACTGTGGACTGCTAAAAGAACTAACAGGTCTGTCCTGGAGGAAGTGCACACAGAATGCTCCTTGGAGGCAAGAATGGCCAGACTTCATCTCACCTGCTTTGGTCTTGTTGTCAGAAGCAACCACTCCCTGGAGAAGGATGTCATGCTTGGTAAGGTGGAGGGTTGACTAAAGAGGGGAAGGCCCTTAAAGAGATGGATTGACTTGGTGGCAGCGGTGATGGGCTCAAATATAGCAAGAATCATGGAGCTGGCTCAGGACTGGTCAGTGTTTCGTTCTGCTGTAAATAGGGTTGCTATGAGTCAGAGACGACTTGATGGCACCTAACAACAACAACTAAATAAATGAAGGGATATCCCATGTTCCTAAAATATTCAATATTGTGAAGACATAAATTCTCCCCAAATTTACCTATAGATCCAAAGCATTCACAAAAGTAATCCCAGCAGTGTGGTATAATCTGTGTGTGTGTGTGTGTGTGTATGCACACATGTGCATGCATGAGTACGTCTGTGTGTGCAAATTGGCAAGTTAATTCTAAAATTTATGTAGTAATGCAAAGGGATGAAAATAGCCATCTTAGGGGAAAAGAAAATGAAGCTGGAGAACTTAAACAACTAGATATCAAGTCTCTTTAAAAAGCTATAGTAATTAAGACAGCATGGAGTTATTGCTGTAAAAATAGACAAGTAGACCAATGCAATAGAAGCCAGAAACAAATTCACATATATATTGTTAACTTATGGCAAGTTACTCACTATCTTGGAAGTAGCATGGGTGGTGCAAGCAGTTTGCAATCTGGTGCTAACCTAAAGGTTTGAATGCACTCGGTGCTGCCACAGAAATAAGACCTGGTGAACTGTTTCCATAAAAACTACAGCCAAGAAAACCCCATGGATCTGTTCTAGTCTATAACACATGGGATCAGCATGAGTTAGGGGCCACAACTCACTATCTCAGAGACCTAGTTTCCCCATTTATAAAATAGGCTTGATAATAGGTCATAGTGCCTTCTTCAGAGGATTTAGATATTACATACCAAAAATATTTAGATATTATGTTAAAGAAGTTAGAATATATGCAAGGTACATAGCAAATGCCCAACAAAATTTAGCTATTGTTAATATTACAGTGATAGTATTATATGTCACATAATAGATCATTGTGATATTATTAATATGTTTATAATATATTACAGTATTATAGATAATAATGTTAACATGCATTATTATAATGTGTACTACTATTATTACTACTACTCCTTTTCTCTATTTGTCAATATGATCATCTGGGAGGGGAGGACAAACACAAAACCAAACCTATTGCTCTCAAGTTAATTCTGACCCATAGTGACCTTATAGGACAGAGTAGAAGTGCTCCATAGCGTTTCCAAGGCTGTAACTTTATGGAAGCAGACTGCCACATCTTTCTCTCATGGAGCAGTTGATGGGTTCAAATTGCCAACCTTTCAGTTACCAGTCAAGTGCTTGACCATTGCTCCATCAGGGTTCCTTAGGACAACCCAAAGAGCAAGAGAGTGTCAATTTTTAGTCTGCCTGGAAAAATATATTAGCAGAATAGTGATCAACTTCATAACTCAGTCAAGATTGGCCTAGAAATGGGCTTCTGACCCAACCATACCCTGTTTCACTTGTGGGTGAGAATATTTTAAGACCTTCTACCCATTTAAAACTCTTCAGCTGGCTGGCATGGGATTGTATTCAGGAGCTCTGAGTTCAGTTTCTCACTCTACTAATTCTGTTTGGATGAATTTCCTCTCTTACAAGAGGATAGTAATACCCACCTCATAGGGAGGTGGTGAGGTTTAAATAAGATAATGAAAGAACAACTCTCAGCATATGCTAGGTAACAGACACATATTGATTTTGGTGAAAAGAAAGGCAATATACCAAAAGCAGATGACCAGCATAGTAGCACTAAGGAAAAGGAATACACGCAGAGGTCCACAAGAGGTATGGACAACAAAGGTAAGTACTATTACATACACAGTGTTGCATTATCAGTAATAACAAACATTAATCTAAGGGTGGATACAGGGAGCTCTGGTAGCATAGTGTCTAAGGTACTTGACTGCTAACCAGAAGGCTGACGATTCAAACCCACCAGCCACTCCTCGGAAGGATGGTTGGGCAATCTATTTCCGTAGTGATACTGCCTCGGAAACCCAAGGAGGGGTCGTTATGAGTCAGGTCTGACTCGATGGCAAATAACAACAACAACAACAAGGGTGGATACATAGATAGACAGGCAAGATGATCAGGGTAGATGAACAGGAATATACCCATGA